CTGAACACTGGCAGGAAGTTCAGAAAAGGAAACACAGTAATAAAAATACTTCCTATCAGCATGGTGGGCTTTTGAGGATGTAAATTTTAGTAATTGTTACTGAGACCAATTCTGTGATGACCAGGAAAAACAATAACGTGTCTGAAATGTAAAGTCTGCTACTTGAATCATAAATCTAAGTCTACAGATGTATTCAAGAGGTCGTTTCCCATAAACAATAATATACATGTGTGTGCTTGTGTGTGTGTGTGTTTATTATGTGTATTTTGTCTATGTATATGTTTAATGTGTGTGTGAAATAATATTCTTTCTGCTTTGCTAGCTATTGAACAGAGCAGTAATGACAAATATTTTAACAAATGAATAGTATTTATTAACATGTAAATATGAGTGGGCACTTGAGACAGTGGGACTCCATACCCTGACTGAAAACAGCAGGATGCTCTGTAACTGTTGCTGTGTATGTAGTGAGAAAAATGGGCTAAAAAATGTACATAGCAGTGTTCATGTATGAGGTGACACACCTTGAGACTGGGTAACAGCTTATGACACCCTATACCTTGTGGATGCAATTTCTTGTAGGTCAGTTCTCATTTTTTGAAAGTGAAACCATTGCAGAATCTCAGACATGTGCAATGCCACATATATTGAGGGTCCCAAGTATGAAGATGCACCAGGAACACATTATTGGGAGGTCTGTTCCATCACTTTGCCTTCTTCAGACACACCCACTGTAGCTTCCCAGTCACAAACTCTGTCTCTTGAACTCAGTTCACTACAGAGCATAATAAGGCCATCTTCCTTTTTCTATAATGGCCCCAAAGGAGGGTGTTCCCAAGGGTACTTTTCATGAGGATGATTGATAATACCCCGAATTATGCAAAAAAAAAAACCTGACTCTCCAGTCAGCCTGGGCAAGGTCTGGTCCAGGGTCAAGACTTTCTGAGAAGAGCAGGCTCCAACTTCAAAACACAAATATCCTTTGTTCCATGAGCTTATTAAATTAGGCAATGCCTAGATCTTTTCTTTCCCTAACTGAGAGGTAAACACTCAAGCAGATGGGAAATAGGGGAAGAAGGCAGGGCCCCTTCATCACTATCAGTTGTTGGGGGTAGTGTGGAGGTTGTCACTGAACACACAGAGCAACATCATGATGGAAACCATGAACAGAGGAACATCAAAGGGATCTTGAGGGCAACAGCCTCCCTCAGTTCCAATCAATGAGTGCTTTGACAAAGGGTGTGGCTTGTCTATGCCCTATAAATACAGGCCGGCTCCCCAGGACTCTCCACACACTGGGCTCCTGCTCACCAATCCTCCAGGTGACTCCCAGCCATGAAGACACTTGTCCTCCTCTCTGCTCTGGCCCTGTTGGCCTTCCAGGTGCAAGCTAATCCTGTAAAAGAGACAGATGAAGGGACTAAAGCTGGGGAGCAACCAGGGGAAGAGGACCAGGGTGTGTCTGTCTCCTTTGAAATCCCACAAGTCTCTGCTCTTCAAGATGCAGGTGAGTGCTGGTGGCCAGTATGATGGAGGCTTGGAGTCTCCTGAGGGAGGGTTAAAGATGAGCCCTAGAAC